TTTTTTTTGCCTGCTAGCTGATGACGTACCCGGCGATCTACAAACAGAAAGTGCTTTGTGTTGAAGCCCTTTCCTGAATGTCACACCTTAATAGAGGCCTTCTGGAAAGTGTCAGTTGGGCCCATAGGCTCCATATTAGAAGAAATCCTTTCTGGATTTATTTCGGCTATTTTAAAAGCAGAAGTGCTTAAAATGTCAATCAAAAGCTGTTCTTACAGTTCATTTAGTGCCTGGCAGCTTCCCGAGGAGCACGTCGGAAATGCAGCTCCGCCAGCATCACTGCTTAAACTAAACAAAGCGCCATCTTCGGCGGGAGGAACAGGACATTTCTGGAATAGTTTCTCCCTCCTCTCCGAATGCCCAACCCCCCCTCTGACTCCACAGAGGGGCCCAGGATAAGGGGTAAGGGATAAAGAGGGAAGAGAAGGAGGAGGAAGAAACAAGAGGGCCAAAAAGCACACTGAAGCTTACTATCTTTCCTCTTCGTCACGCTTTAAGCATCCGTTACCACTTGTTCTCCCTCCTGTTGGTTAGCACCACATGATCCCCAGTTTCCTTCTGGTTTCCTGTAATCTCTGTCTCGGTGTCTGCAGCCTGCTCTGCTGCAGAGTCCAGAGAGTAGGAGTCTGAATGCCCCAAACCTGCAATCGCACTGAGACAGGAAGAAAAAATGAAATGTCTTTGTCAGCTGCTGTGGCCTCCTGTCTCACCACTCGACCTGCAGGACTCTGATGAACTCTCCTTGAAAGCGGTTCACTGAGTGGACGTGCAGTAACGTCTTTACAAATGACATTCAGTGTATTTGCATTTTATCACCACCAAAAGAGAGCCGGCTGCAGACCGCTCACCTGTGCATTGTAATCCGTTTCACAATGCATGCATCGCTTCCCATGTCATACGTTCTGGCCATTGCCATGGGAACAGTTGCCGTGCTGCGTTACCGCCCTTGATGCAGACCTGAATGCTTCTCTGTAGGTGTAGCGCTGCGGGGAAAATGGAGTAATCATCCCATTGATGTCTTTCTGATCCCCTTAGGTTCAGCTAATGCTAGTCCAGCGCCTCAGGGCTAAAGCCTTATTTTGGAATTGAATCGTGTGATGTGAAAAGGGGACTTTCATTTGCTAAACAATGGCAGTGATCTAATCCGAGCTTTTCAGAAATTGAATTCAGAGAGGGAGAGGACAGTGGCAGTACAATGGGAGCCAGCAGGCAGATCAAACAGAGCCGTCTCACTGGGCGTCACACAGAGGACAACAGCAGCAGCAAGGAGCTGCTGCACTGACTGAACCCTCCACAACAAAGTGCCCTATTGA